AGGTCCATGTCTTTCTTGTGTTGGGGGCTCCAGAACTGGACGCAGCACTCTAGGTGGGGCCTTACGAGAGCGGAGTAGAGAGGGAGAATCTTTTCCCTCGACCTGCTGGCCACGCTTCTCTTGATGCGGCCCAGGATACGGTTATTGGCCTTCTGGGCTGCAAGTGCTCATTGCCAGCTCATGTTCAGCTTCTCATCCACCACCACTCCCAAGTCCTTCTCTTCAGAGCTGGTCTCAATCCAGTCATCGCCCAGCCCATATTTATGTTTGGAATTTCCCTGGCCCAGGTGCAGGACCTTGCATTCGGCCTTGTTAAACTTCATGAGGTTAGCACTGGCCCACCTCTCAAGCTTGTCAAGGTCCCTCTGGATGGCATCCCGTCCCTCCAGCGTGTCAACTGAACCACACATCTTGGTGTCATCAGCAAACTTGCTGAGGGTGCACTCAATCCCACTGTCCATGTCACCAACAAAGATGTTAAAGAGCACCAGCCCCAATACCGACCCCTGAGGGACACCAGTAGTCATGGGTCTCCACTCAGATATTGAGCTGTTGACTACAACTCTTTGAGTGTGACCATCCAGCCAATTCCTTATCCACCGAGTGGTCCATCCATGAAACCCGTGTGTCTCCAACTTAGAGACAGTTGCTCACTTAGTTGTCTGATATGATCTATGTGAGGAGGAGAAGGAATGAAGAAAATAATGGGAGTAATGTAGTTCTATGGCACATAAGACAAAGAGGGTAGTAGGCAGGGTTAACAAATGGTAGGAAATGCCTAAAATTTCCACCTCATCTATGCAAGGAAAATAATTTACCTAATGTTATGAGAAGCCTGCGATTAGAAAAAACAAGCATTCCACTTCCCACCGTATAATGGCAGCATGTGCCTAGTAATCAATTAACATAACTCTCCTGTAAGATAGTGAAGCGCTATAATCATCATCATCTGACAGACAGGGAATGAAGACACAAAGAGTGCATCTAAACCTGAGGAACCAGGCTTCTGCATCCATATTAGACCCCAGCCACACCCTTACACAACCATGTGGCAATTCACTTCTATCTCACTTTGTTTTTTGCAAGAAAGAGAGAAATTTAGACACTTACGTGGGGGTAGATCTTCAGTGCATGCCAGCCAAATCTCCTATCTGAATGGACCATAGCTGTACACACAGATAGACGTCAGCCTAGATACAGTTAGAAAGGTTTATCAGAACCTGCAATGTACCTGAAATCAGGTGTCCCACATTGATCTTCAATCTCCCAACTAATGATAATGTTTCTTATCTAGCTCATCTCTTGATAGAGAACCTGTGCTACTCTGTGCCACCCTCCATCAAAAAAAAAAAAAAAAAAGTCTAATTTTTGAGTAACAGTCTTCCCTTTGTTTATATTCTGATGTTATTACTTCTGCTGAAAAGATCAGAACAATTGTCTTGAAGTTAATATAGCATGAATGCTTAAATTAATAAATTTAACCCAAAATCTCTAAATATAGTTTTTCTCCAAGATGTCTAGCTTTTTTTGCCTCATTTGGCTAAATAGCTGTTCTCTTCACCCTCTCCCATCTACAGGGCATGCGTTGCCTTTCCATGACATGGAAGGAAGTATGCTGCAAGCCAACTGAGAAAGTCTGTATTATTTTACTGAAGCCACTAATTTGAAACATAACAAAGGAATTGGTAAATGCAATAAACTATTATAAAATCAGGAGCAAGTGATGATTGCTAGATCAGTTAACAGATGTTTTAAGCACTACTTTATTTCCTGTTGAAGGCATCCCTTCACTTCTTATCGGATCTTCACTTGGGCTCCTAACTTGTGCACGCACATGCTGACTAGACAGTCAGATAACATTTCCCTTCCAGAGCTGTTCTCATTGCTCTCTGGCACAAAATAGCTCTGTTAAGGAATTTACATTATAGCTAAACATTACAGCACTAAGACAGTACCACTTAGCCACACAACTCCATCCTCTCATGGCAAGGACCGACGCCTGGGCTTGGAATGTTTCATTTGGAGAGCATATTAGCAAAGGTGATTTTTTTTTCCCCAACAATTACAATCTGCACACATGGTACAACATGGTCCTAGGGACAGGAAACTTATTTTGTGTTGGGTTCTAACAATGTGTCTGTTCATTTACTGATGAAAACTCTGATGTATTTTTTAAAACAAGCACAGAGTGATAAAAAATATTTTGGTGGATTAATTTCCAGAATCACAGAATTCCCTAGATTTGGAAGAGACCTTTAAGATCATCGAGTCCAATCATTAACATGACACTGACAAGGCCCCGACTAAACCACGATCCTCAGCGCTATGTCTACGGGACTCTTAAATACCTCCAGGGGTGGGGACTCCACCACTGCCCTGGGCAGCCTGTTCCAGTGCCTGAGAACCCTTTCAGTAAATAAATTCTTCCTAGTACTCAATCTAAACTTCTCTTGGAGCAACTTGAAGCTGTTTCCTCTTATCCTGTCACTTGTTACTTCGTTGAATAGACCGACCCCCACCTTTCTACAACCTCCTTTCAGGAGGTTGCCCCAGGTGAGCTCAGCACCTATCAGTACTCCTATTAGCAGACATCCTGATTAAACTCTCTGTGTCCCACCAACCTATTTGCCATCACACACTTTGCAGAACAGAGAGGAGAAAAAAAAGGGGGGGTAGAGGATGGTACTGGCAAGGGGATGAAACTGTCTCGGTGTCAGCCCGGCTGTTGAACCATCCGCCCCGATCGTCCCGGGCGCTCCCCGGAGCTCCCAGGGCAAGCGGGGCGGAGCGGCTGG